CGTAGCCTAGCCCCCAAACAGTTTCAAAACGATTCATTTGGACCAGTGTTAAATCAAAAACGAGTTCTTGGTATGCCCTACCGTACCAAGTGCAAACTGCTTCATCAATGATTTTAAGTCGGCGTCGGCATCGCTATTTGTTCGGCCACAAGAGAAGACAAGAGAAGAGGAAGACAAGACCCGGCCACAGAGCCCTGCGACACAGTTCAGGGACGTGCCGAGTCAGTGTGGCCAGGGCTGGTCAGCGCGGCCAGGCAAGCATGGGCGCAAAGAACCTATCCCAGCGTGCCAAAGGGTTGCAGAGGGTGGGGCGCGCAAAACACAAGAGCGCAACAGCTGAGGAAATCAGAACCCACAGCACGACATACGCTCCTGCCAGTAGCACCTGCAAGTAGTCTAAAAAGACTATCAAAAGAACAAACACCGAGATGTTACGCTGGACAGGTGTTCATTCCATAGAGTTATATTTAGAAAACTCAAACCACTCAATTAGCATCACAAAACAAAGGAAGGAGGCCTCGTGCCACTGGAACTTTCATGAAAGGGTTTGCTACGCCAGCTCCGCTTCAACACTCAAGGACCCGGCTTTGTTGTAAAACAACTCACACTTGCTGAGTCGAGCTCGCTTTGCGATTGCTCGAAGGTGTGCGTTCAATACAAAGAACCAACCTTTGGTGGAGGGCCATTGGCTTGACAAGGCTCGCTGACGCAAACTACCACAATGCGCATGTCATGTTGAAACCTTTGAACCCAGAGCCCCTCCAGGTCAGGGAGGGGACTTGGCAAGAGACATATTTCATCATAGTTCATTCATGCACAGCACACACAAAACTGTAAATAAATATATAATAGATACCTGAGAAGGGAGGGGTTGAAAGCCAGCCTCTGGCTTAGGGGGTGCCCTCAACCCAGGCCGGGGCAAAGACTTGGCGCGCAAGAGGAAGTGATGGGATAACATCGGGCAAAGATTGATTTCATGGGGTGAAGTTGACATCGCAGCCACACTGATAGGGGGTAGAAATGGAAAGTAGAAGACATAGGTTTGGGGGGGGTGCCCTTTTTCGTCCCGGTTCAGGGGCGATTTGGAGGTGAAAAGGGCACCCATAAGGAAGTGAGGCGCGCTTGCCGGCGGCGTGTTGCGAATCAGTGAGCAAAGACGGCGGTGGGGGTTGATGTGCGAGGCTATGGGTAGGGTAGGTGAGGATATATATGTATATATACATTTCTATCCAATCTCAACCTCCGGGGGTAGATTTAAAGAAACTGGTAGAAGGTGGTAACACCACCAATGCCTGTGACAGAGCGCAATTCCCTGCGCGAGCCCTAGGCTAGCTAGCTAGCCGCTAGCCTTTCAAGGGTGAGGAAGGGAGATCCCAGAGGGGGCCCTTACACCAGGGTGGGCTGGCTGGGACAAACGCTATTTTGGCCAAGGCGCTTGAGCCAAAATATTCGTTAGTTATGAAGCTATGGTAGGAATGAGTCATGTTCACCCAAGCCTGCCAGACCTGAAACATGATTACATTTCTATCCAAGCTCAACCTCCGGCACTCCGGCACACTTTCTTTTCCATCTCGTCTGTCAACCTGCAAGCCTCTGCAGGATTTGCGTTGGGCAACCTGCACTGCAGTCAGACCAACAGTGGTTGACCTCCGGTCACTCTGGTAACCACTCCCAACGCACTTAGAGAAATTCCATGACACTAATCACTGCGGGTAGCGGCAGGTGCCAGAGGCAAAGCGGGCAAGTTACGGAGAAAGGTGTGAATCCGTTGGGTCACCACCAAGGATCATGCCAACCCAACCGGGAGATCGCGTCTGCCCAGTTGCTCTTGGAAGGGATGTATTCCCAATACATCCTTGTTCGAAAAGCGTACAACATGATGTGGATGAGGCCACACATGCGCTCGAGATCTGGAGAGTGAGATCGCCCTCGGATGAGGCACATCAATGCTGCCAAACGATGAGAAACCCCCCTGTACCCCGCCCGGGTTCCTCCAGGGCAGCGTCAGAAGCAACTACAAAACGAAGGCATGGCAACGGCCTCACTGGAAGTTCACGACGAGGTCTGTGGTGAAGAATCGATCGAACTACATCGAAGTTGCCCAGGATCTCTTGCGTCAGCTTGATGGCAGCAAGCCCTGCGCAGCCCAGTCGGTCGTAGACTCCTTGTTCAAGAACCTTCAAAATAGCGAGGGTTTTCTGAAGCAACCTGTCACGTAACCAGAAGGTCAGGTGCCTTTGCCCAAAGAAGTGAAGTCATGGTCTAGCCCCCAAAAGGTACCAAAAGGCTGCATCAACTGTTCTTCTCTTCCGCAAAGGGGAATTCAACTGACAGAACGCTCGCTAGAACCTGAGCCGGACTGGAGGTCGGTGACGTGGGCGTCGTCGAAGTATAACGAAACCAAAATGTACGTCAGCCGCCGTCCTAGGGCTTCGATGAAGCGGGAGTATCTGTTGAACGAAGTGACGGCGAGGGGGTCCGAACAGCAAGGAGGAGTAGACCTGAAAGGTTGGCTCCGCTTTATCAGCGTGCTAGAAGTACACAATGCATCCCCGGCTCTCGTCTCGGCTGATCGGCGAATGTCGGTAGGCGTTGGGCCAGTCTTCGCCGCCTGAGAGCCATGCGTCTTGCGCAGTCAGCCCCGCCCAATGTTCATCTGACATGAGGGAGGCCACCGCGCTGATATGTTGCGCAGGTCTCAGTGGGGAGCACAGCACGAGCTTGTCCCAGTCGGAAGAGCGCTCAGACAGTGCGCCTGTGTCTCCGTTGTCGATTCTTCCCTGACGACTGCGCGATGATGCATCGTGGAATCAGACGATATGGTTGGCCTCGGAGCGGTTCTGTGCAGAACCCCTGTGTAGCATCTTCCAGGGACTGCTCCACGAGGACGTCATCGTAGCGGCCTGGTTTGAGTGCTGCAATGGTTCGATGATTATGGGTTTCCCAGTCCTCAAGCATATCCTCCATCGTCAGCAGTCAGGCGCTCGTCACGGAGTGCCATCGCTGCTTAAGCTCCGTGAGGATGCCCAAGCTGTGTTTCCGGCGCTTGGGGAGTTCTGCTGGGCTATTGGCGTAGAGCTCGGCAACAAACCAAAGGTCGTCATCTAACAGCGGAAGTTGCTCTGTAGGGACTGGAGCTTGACTGCGAACGCATGACCGACGGAAGTGTTCATCAGGCTCGAGACCATATATGACTCAATAAAGGTGGCAAGGCGGCTTTGTGGCTGAGTGCCCCGGCTTCTGGATGGCGCTGACGTTGCTGAAGCTGGACCAGCTATAGGTCGGGGCTGAGGGCGCTTGCCCGCTGCAATCTCTTCTCTCCCCTGCCCTCAACAACCCCCCAATCTACGTGAACTCCCACCGCATAGGGAGTGCCCTCTTCAGTCCGGCAGCAACGCTAATCTTGGCCGCAACTACCACCTGGCACCTGGTCTCTTTCCATGGCCTCCTGGGCCTCCTGAGCCCCTCATGACCCCCAATCCATGTGAACTCCATCGCTATAGAGGGTGCCCTCAACAGATGGCATCATCCCCCAAATAAGGCACTCTTTTGAATCCAATAACTAGACCTTCCCCTACGCAATTGGAAACCTTTCACCTCCAACGCTTGCCATCTCTTCTCTCTCCTGCCCTCAACAACCCCTGAACTCCCACCAGATATAGGGAGTGCCCTCTTCAGTTTCGGTTCTCTCGCAGGCCCTCAACAGATGGCATCACGCACCCAATGTGGGATGCCTTTCTCAATCCAGCAACTAGACCTTGCTACTGCTACGGAAAAAAAAGGGCACCCCTGAGCTATTCAGGACCTTCCGCCTCCAACGCTTGCCCGCTGCAATCTCCTCTCTCTCCTGCCTTCAACAACCCCCCAATCCACGTGGGGTGCCCTCTTCAGTCCAATTCTCTCGCAGGCCCTCAACAGATGGCACATACAGCCCATATGGGGGTCCCCTTTTCAGTCCAGCAACTAGACCTTGCCACGGACAAAAAAGGGCATCCGTAAGCAATTCAAAACTTTCCGCCATTTTCCGCCTCCGACGCTTGCCCGCTCCAATCTCTTCTCTCTCCTGCCCTCAACAACCACCCAATCCACGTGAACTCCCACCGCATTGGGAGTGCCCTCTTCTGTCCGGCAGCAACGCCAAGCTTAGCCGCAACTACAATCTGTTCTCTTTCCAGGGCCTCCTGAGCCCCTCGTGATGCTGATGATGCACTCTTCGCCGTCAATTACATCACCAGCATCACAACACCCCTCAAACCACTCATTTTTCACCAAGTGGCCCACCTCTTTTTTCGCTCTCCCCCACCAGGCTCTGGGCTCACCTCTCCAAAATTGGCCACCTCGCGACCACCCCTCACCCACACCCCCTTTACACACTTCGTTCGCTCCAGCAACCTCAAGCCTTGCCTATCGGCTGGCTTTCGTGAAAAGAAAAACAAGCTACAGTAAATATAAACACACACATATAACTACAATAAATACATACAGTACATACACAGTATGTGTTCCATTTTGCAACTTCCCTTCCTGCGTAGCGAAGCCAGGGAGCCATGAACGAACGTCTGACTTTCTGAATCATTGAATATCAATCCGCTGAATCAAGAAGTGGTTTGGAGGAACATGTTGTGATGGTTGAGGGCTGTGCAAACCTTAGAGCCATCCTACTGCAAGCCCTTGGTGAGCGTGGCCATTCGCAGCCTCATCAGTTCATAGGCATGAGCAAACCAGCAAGTATTTACAGTACATTTCTTTGTTATCAAACCAACGATGGATGTTTGCGCTATGAGTAGGGATGCGTCGCTCACCGGCTCTGGGGCGAGCGCTGTGATGCAAAAAGGGCAACAAATGCTCACTGCATCTGCGGGCTGCTGGGACAACATGCTGTTTTCAGCGAATGCACTGTACACGGCTTAGTCAGCTTTGTTCCTTGAGCGTGTCTCTGCGGCATTCCTTTGGCACGCTCAAAATCTAGAGTCTAGAGCAAACTGCCTGCTAGCTGGCGCTCATTTGCCCTTGCCAAGGTTGAACTTGAAGAAAATAACGTCTCCAGATTGCACCTGTCATTCGCTGCATCAAGATTTGTACAACATTCCCATCAGCTGGAGTCTTGCGAGCCTCGTAGTTCTTACCTTCCTGACGGTACTTGCCGGCTGCCTGGCACTCGAATCACTGCCCACAGAAACCGCACAATTTTAGTCAGTCAGTCAGTAGGTCAGTTGTGTTCCTGGTTGGCCGCGACTGGTTCGCAAAGTTGAACTAGAAGGAACACGTTGCTGGACCCTGGTCCAAGTCCATTTTTTGGTCTTCTCGTTGGCAGCTTGTCTGCGCAATCTCTTTTCCAGCCAAACCTTCACACACATCTACGGCACCTCTATCTGACCATCTGTGCTATCCTGCTGCATTGGCTTGGTGTTGTATTTTTCAACAAAATGCTAACAGATAATTGCTGATTGATGGTTTTGCAGGTCAACCCCCGCAAACAAAAACTGCAGCCCCGTCAGCACACATCTTCTTATGTACTTTTCCTCTACCCCCTGCTAGAAGCAAAAGCTGCAGCCCCACGATTGTTTTTGGACACCCCCTCTAAAACAACAAGCTACTAGCACTGGCACTAATAGTGGCACTAGAATTAGCATTAGTTATTGTCTCAGTCGCAGTCATTATTGAAGGGCTTAACTTAAGCAACTTGGCAACCAGGTTTAAAAGCTTTGCTGCGGTGACTGGAGCTGTTAAAGGAAAAAGTAGCAGTAGCAGTAGCGTAGTACTAATAGTAGTAGTAGTAGTAGTGGTAGTAGTAGTGGTAGGAGGCAGTAGTAGTAGTAGGAAGTAGTAGTAGTAGGAGGTAGTAGTAGTAGTAGTAGGAGGTAGTAGTAGGAGGTAGTAGTAGTAGTAGTAGTAGTAGTAGTAGTGGTAGTAATAGTAGTAGTAGTAGTAGCAGTAGTAGTAGTGGTCGTAGTAGCCGCAGTAGTAGTAGGAGGTAGTAGTAGTAGTAGTGGTAGTAGTAGTAGCAGTAGTCGTAGTAGGAGGTAGTAGTAATAGTAGTAGTAGTAGTAGTATATAGTAGTAGTATATAGTCGTAGTAGTAGTAGCAGCAGTAGTAGTAGTAGTAGTAGTATGTAGTATAAGTAGTAGTGGTAGTAGTAGTTGTTGTTGTTGTTGTAGTGCAACAACAACAACTACTACTCCTGCTGCTGCAATTACTACTACGATGACGACGACGGCGGCGACGATGACTACCCTGACTACTACTGCTACATGACGACTAGTGACTACTACCACTATCACTACGACAACGACGCCGATTACGAATACGATCACCACCACCGGCACTATCTATCTATCTGTCTGTCTGTCTGTCTGCCTGTCTATCTGTCTACCTGTCTATCTGTCTATCTGTCTATCTAACTATGTATCTATGTAGCTATCTTTGTATCATGTTGTATCTATGTATCTATCTATCTCTCTCTATATATATATGATACATCTACCTATCTATCTACAGTATCTGTCTATCCGTCCGTCTGTCTGAAACAAAAGCTGGAGCTTCGTAGTTGTTTTTCCACAAAGGCTGCAGCCCTGCTGTTGTTGTTGTTGTTCTTCGAACCCGCCCCACCCAAAAAAACCTCAACACTAAAAACGGACCAAGCCAGATTTCAGTGTAACAAGTCCAACAAGTCCAGCTACATGCGAAACCAATATTCCCTCAAACCTTCAACCATACCCCTAACCTTGTCCTCTTGAAGTTGCAGAGTTACAACATGCGACGACTATGTTGGGCGGCTGTTATTGCTTCCACCAATGACAACAGCAGCAACACGAAGAATACGCAGGTTCAACAAACCCACACACCTCAACACTCACCCTGATGCTGCCCAATGCTCTTTTCAGGGGTCGCAACTTGAATGTGTCTAACATTTTCCAAGCAGGCGAAGGGTCGTCGAGCTCTGCAATTGATTGTGAATACGCACAAGCTGTGACGCTGAGTCTGGCTCGCGTGCCACTGCTTGTCGAAGTGTGTGGCCTCTGCCCGCGAGAAGCTGTTTGCGTCCTGAAGAAAAGTGGGGCAATGTTGCGCGAGTGCGTGGGTCTGTTTGATTAGCAAGGCGTCCTTTGGGGCCAACCCAAATGCGAAGTCGAGAATCTTGAATTGAAGCTATGGAAGCAATGGGCTGACAAGAAACTCCAAGAGATTGTAAAGCACAATGACAAAGTGTGTGGACGCAATAGTTCGAGTCCAAGTCGTCATTGCTGTAGTTGCAGAAGGTCGCCAAGGACATCGAATGCCCAAGCTCACCACACTATTAAGATTAGGTCGTTGGGTTAGATCGGCGGGCGCCAAAAGCTTCTCATGTATTCAAGCCTGAGCTGCGCCCTGGGGCATGTGACGAAAGAGGAAGATGCGACAAGTCTTGAACAGAACGGACAGGTATTCCAGCTGAAATAAACTCACCTGGCCAATCCTGGTCCACTCTGGCGATAACGCCGCGGATTGTGATGGGATGCGAATCTGCAATACTGGTTGGTATGTAATTTTTCGCAGAAAAGTGCAGTTCTCGCCTGCATGCCCGTGATCGAGAGGCGCTTAGGCCAGATTGTCGTTCAATTTGTGATCAGGATAGGATGACCTGCTGTGGGATTGCTTGGAGCTCCTGAATGTGCCAGGAGTGATGGATAAGCGGTTGCTTTTAAAGTCTGATCAACCGCTTGTACCTGCTGTACCTTTATTTTATCTACAGAGCGATTCTTTGGATATGAGGCAGGGTCACTACCCAATTCCCGCTACTCGTCGGTTACTTGTGGAATGATTCCCACGGTCTCGTTCCACTTGGAACACTGAATGGTTGGAACATGCGGTTTTAGATTCTGACTGCTCGGGTTTGTGCTTGGTACATTGAACGATTGGAACTAGAACCTGTTTTTTTGCGCTTTTGATTACTGAGGTTTCCTTTCACGCCGAAGTTCCCTGGGGACCGCTTCTGCTGAACGTACTATTTCTCGAGTGTGTGTGTGGCCTGAAAAATACGTGGCTGCCAGCAATGATGAACTGAAGCCGTGCGGGAGGGGGTCACCATGCGAATATATGTATACAGTGTATCTTAGAATATGCAACTCATAGTTTCTTTATGCGTCTTGTGAGTCTTGACCATTCCGAATGTTGCGGGAAGAAATGGCCTTGACATTCGCTTCACTGCCAAGTTCCTTCAAATCAGTAAAGGACATGACCTCGGCCATGATAAAGCCTGGGCAACAGCCACATCAAGCAGCGGCAACGCAGCACTCTAGTGAGCTATGGATTGATCTCGCTCTTTGGATTATCCTGTTTCCTGCCTTTCTCAAAATCTGTGTGAATAACTCCAGCGGCTTGTGGAGCCTGCCAAAAAAAATGCCTGAACTTTTTGCATTGTAGCTGACCAACCTTGATTCTTGTCTCTTGGGGCGAACCGCCTTGAATCCTTTTCGAACTGTCCAAGCTTTGACTTCATCAGGTCCAGCTGTGAAAAAATTGATCAAATGTACCTGAAACTTTCTCAACAAATGCATCCTTCAATTCAAGCCTCAACGCAAGCAGCGACGCAAAAGGGGCACCATATGAAAAGCTGTTGAGATCATCTTTGGCATGGCACTCGTCACACCTTATTGACTCAGAAACCCAAACATGGTGACCAGGATCATGCTGGGAAAAAGGGCATGTTGCCTGCAGCCCATGAGTGATCGTCACCACATCCCTTGGCACTTTCCACCCGAGAAGCCATCTTCCTTCAGCTGCTTCTCCCGGTCTTCTTCAGTCTCCATATCCTGCAGCTCCTCCTCGTATGCTCCACCTCAGATTTCCCTCAAGCCCTCGCTCTGCTCAATGCATCTGAGTCTGAACACCCAAGCATAAATGACCACAAAGATGCATGAAACTGTCCCAAATGACGCACTTGCTGTAAGGTGCGTCTGCACATGTTTCTATGCCCACATTGTATGTAAATCAAAGGCATTGATGGCTTCATAATTCCCCAAACAGTTTACTGTTAGGGGTTCTCAATTTTTTCTTAAGATGTGTCCGCCCTTTGTGTCACTGCTGGCCATGTAGCATTTCTATTCATTTGTCTCCCAGGTCTGTAACTGGTGTCTGCCCTTTTCCGCTGGCCATGTAGCATTTCTATTCATGTCCGCCCTTTTCCGCTGGCCATGTAGCATTTCTATTCATTTGTCTCCCAGGTCTGTCACTGCTGGTGTCCGCCCTTTTTCGTTGGCCATGTAGCATTTCTGTTCATTGGCCATGTAGCATTTCTAGTCATTTGTCTCCCAGGCCTGTCACTGCTGGTGTCCGCCCATTTCCGCTGGCCATGTAGCATTTCTATTCATTTGTCTCCCAGCTCTGTCACTGCTGGCCACGCAGCATTTTGATACATTTGTCTCCCAGGTCTGTCGCTGCTGGTGTCCGCCCTTTTCCGCTGGCCATGTAGCATTTCTATTCATTTGTCTCCCAGGTCTGTCGCTGCTGGTGTCCGCCCTTTTCCGTTGGCCATCCACCATTGTCCGCCGTTTTCCGCTGGCCATGTAGCATTTCTATTCATTTGTCTCCCAGGTCTGTCGCTGCTGGTGTCCACCCTTTTCCGCTGGCGATGCAAGATTTCTATTCATTTGTCTCCCAGGTCTGTCACTGGTGGTGTCCGCCCTTTTCCGTTGGCCACGCAGCATTTCTATTCATTTGTCTCCCAGGTCTGTCGCTGGTGGTGTCCGCCCTTTTCTGCTGGCATTTGTCTCCCAGGTCTGTCACTGCTGGTGTCCGCCCTTTCCGCTGGCCATGTAGCGTTTCGATGATTTGTCTCCCAGGTCTGTCACTGGTGGTGTCCGCCCTTTTCCGCTGGCCATGTAGCATTTCTACTCATTTGTCTCCCAGGTCTGTGACTGCTGGTGTCCGCGTGGCCATGTAGCATTTCTATTCATGTGTCTCCCAGGTCTATCACTGCTGGCGTTCTCCCTTTTCCGCTGGCCATGCAGCATTTCTATTCACTTGTCTCCCAGGTTGGTTGCTGGTGGTGTCCGCCCTTTTCCGTTGGCCATGTAGCATGTCTATTCATTTGTCTCCCAGGTCTGTCACTCGTGGTGTCCGCGGTTTTTCGCTGGCGATGCAACATTTCTTTTCATTCCCCAAGCAGTTTACTGTCAGGAGTTATCATTTCTTTCTTAAGATGTGTCTGCCCTTTGTGTCGCTGCTGGTGTCCCCCCTTGTCCGCTGGCCATGCAGCAGTTGAATTCATCTCCCAGGTTCGGCGCCTGGCCATGCAGCATTTTATTCATTTGTCTCCCAGGTGATTTGTGCACTTCGCCAAACAGGTTACTGTTAGGGGTTCTCAAAGCTTTCTAAGAGTGTCAGCCTTGCTGCGGGACAGCGTGTCCGCCTTCCGTCCGGCTTGTCTCCCTTTGTCTCCCTTCTTGTTGGTCACTGTGTCCGCCTTGTCTCCCTTCTGTTTCCCTTTGTCTCCGGTCTTGTCTCCCTCCTGCTGTTTCCTTTTGTCTCCCTTCTTGTTGGTCATTGTGTCCGCCAGGTCTTCCTTCTTGTCTCCCTTTGTCTCCAGTCTTGTGACCCTTCTTGTGGGTCACTGTGTCCGCCTTGTCTCCCTTTTGTTTCCTTTTCTCGCCCTTCTCGCCCTTCTTGTTGGTCATTGTGTCCGTCTTGTCTTTCTTCTGTCTCCTTTGTCTCCGTTCTTGTCTCCATTCTTGTTGGTCACTGTGTCCGCTTTGTCTCCCTTCTCTCTCCTTTTGTATCTCTTCTTGTTTCCCTTCTTCTTGCTGGTCATTGTGGCCGCCTTGTCTCCCTTCTGTCTCCCTTTGTCTCCGGTCTTGTCTCCCTTCTTGGTGGTCACTGTGTCCGTCTTGTCTCCCTTCTGTTTCCTTTTGTGCACCTTCTTGTCTCTCTTCTTGTCTCCCTTCTTGTTGGTCATTGTGTCCGCCTTGTCTCAATTCCGTCTTCCTTCTGTTTCCTTCTTGTTTGTCATTGTGTCCGTCTTGTCTCCCTTCTGTTTCCTTTTGTCTCCCTTCTTGTCTCCCTTTTTGTTGGCCATTGTGTCCATCTCCCTTCTGTTTCCTTTTGTCTCCCTTCTTGTCTCCCTTCTTGTTGATGTCTCAAAAGTGGACTTGGGAATGCTTCGTGCTTGTCCTACCTATTTGGGGCCTACGGTGGTGTAATTGTTTGAGAAACGTTTGTCTTCGTGTCACTTTGACCCTCTGCACGGCACGTTCATCCTCATATACTCATGCTGAACATTTTCAAGGCAAGAAAATACCCTGGGCCCTAGAAATGTCCGACAACAACTGGTTGCTCTGAGGGGAGTTCGGACAAACTATGCTATGGCTGCTGGAGGGAGTTCACAAGGCGCTACCTGTGGAACATGCACCTTCTGGATGAGGGAGGGTACATCGGCTCAGCAAAGCTGCAATATGGAATGATTGCACTCCCCGGAGAGTTTGCTTGCACCCACTCGTAGATAGGCTTCAAGAACTTGTTCCTAGGAACTGCTCTACTCTTTTCAGTCAAATGCACGCGCCACTCCTTCAGTCCGCATACCTTTTGTGCAAAAACCACCTTGCCGCTTGCAACACTGTTCATTCTGTTCATCAATTTTGTTCTTAGCAACTTCTTGCGGCAATAATCGTGCCTCAGAGTCATTTGCGGAGTTTCCCATTTCCCAGTAACAAAGATTAAGCCGAAACTGAGCCGACGACTTGTTCATATTGACTGCATACATGCAAGGCTTGGCAGTCAACAAACCGTAGTCATTCAAGAACTCGATGTCCTTCTTGCGACGGGTATCAGTTCTGAATGGCCTTCGACCTCCCGTCACGGAGGCCAATGTTTGGCAAGCACCATAAAGAATGTTTCATTTTGCATACCCAATGCAAAGACTAGTTTACTTGAAGCTTTGGCGGATTGTGTCGCAAGTAGGTGAACAGATTCAAAGCCTCAAAAAAACTGGCACAAGTCGCAGCAAGAACTCCAGCAATTGGACGAACATCATCAACAATGAACCCTTACAGGCCTTATGGCTAGGACCCAGGAAACGCACCCAAAAAGTATGACGTGCGGACTTTGTACGATATGGCCCATGTTCGGATAACCCCACATGATAACAACTTCGCAAACACAGGAGCGGACAATTGGTGGTCGGTGGGTGACAACTTGGTTGGTAGCAGTTTGTTGGTGGCAGTTGGTTGGTGGCAGTTCGTGGGTGGAAATTTGTTGGTGGCAATTGGTTGGTGGCAGTTTCTTGGTGGCAATGGGTTGGTGGCAATTGGGTGGCAATTGGTTGGTGACAGTTGGTGGGTAGTAATTGGCTGATGACAATTGGTTGATGACAATTGGTTGGTGGCAAGCGGGAGGCGGGAGGAGGAGGAGGGGGGAAGGAGCGGATACAACACTAAAAACAAAAACCTCACACGCCAAATGTGGGGAAGGGACACGAGCACAGAAGAGACACCGGCAGAGCGTCCCGCGCCTGCCACGCAACTCAGACCCGCAAACCTGCCGCGAACCATCCGCTCCCTTGGAGAGCACCAAGGACCGCGCCTGCCACGCAAATCACACCGGCACAGCTGCGGCGACCCAGCGACCTCAGGGCGTACGTCCGACCCCTTGGACAGCACCAAGTACCGCACCTGCCACGCAAATCACACTGGCACAGCTGCGGCGACCCAGCGACCTCAGGGCGTGCATCCGACCCCTTGGAGACACCGGCACAGCTGCGGCGACCCAGCGACCTCAGGGAGTACATCCGACCCCTGCTTAGATGGACCGGTTACCGGTTATATGATAGTTATGTAGTTTAATTAACCATTTATAACCAATTAAGTAAGAAGTTATGTAACCATGTATTACTTGAATTATTAAGCAGTTGGCTAACCATTTAACTAAGTTGGTTAACTAGTTTAATACATCCTTAACAGCGAAGAAATGAAGAGGAAAATCATACATTAAAGGACCGGATAACCCCACATATGAATCTTTACGAATCTTAAGTTTCTAAAGCACAAAGCAGTCAGAGTCTCAATAGCTTCTACAACACGGCCTTGTCAGGAAGTGATATCAGCTTCCGACAACAGAGGGGTGGGAGAGAAGGTGTAAGAGAGTGATGTGCACGACGGATGTACGAGGTATTGTGCACACAGGTGTGCGCAGCCACAACTAGCCAACAACACCAGCGGTTGTCGCACGTCCGCAATACGGGGCATAATGTACGAAAGTTATACTACAAAGTCGCCAGTTCTCAGCTTCCAGCTCCACAGATTGCTCCGCGTACTAAGGTTGTACTACAAAGTCGCCAGTTCTCAGCTTCCAGCTCACGGATTGCTCCGCGTACTACAGTTGTACTACCAAGTCGCCAGTTCTCATCTTCCCGGGGCCAAGCAACTCCGCGTACTAAAGTTGTACTACCAAGTCGCCAGTTCTCATCTTCCAGCTCCCCAGCTAGTCCGCGTACTAAAGTTGTACTACAAAGTCGCCAGTTCTCAGCTTCCAGCTCCACAGATTGCTCCGCGTACTAAAGTTGTACTAGAAACTCGCCAGTTCTCAGCTTCCAGCTCCACAGCTACTCCGCGTACTAAAGTTGTACTACACAGTCGCCGGCGCCCACACCCGACCAGAGCCGACCAAGCAACCACCAGACCCTCTAACGGAGCCAGATCTATATACTGCGATTTACAATGGAACAACGTCGCCGGCGCCCACACCCGACCAGAGCCGACCAAGCAACCACCAGACCCTCTAACAGAGCCAGATCTACTGCGATTTACAATGGAACAGCGTCGCCGGCGCCCACACCGGGCCAGAGCCGACCAAGCAACCACCAGACCCTCTAACGGAGCCAGATCTACTGCGATGTACAATGGAACAACGTCGCCGGCGCCCACACCCGACCAGAGCCGACCAAGCAACCACCAGACCCTCTAACGGAGTCAGATCTACTGCGATTTACAATGGAACAGCGTCGCCGGCGCCCACACCCGACCAGAGCCGACCAAGCAACCACCAGACCCTCTAACGGAGTCAGATCTACTGCGATTTACCATGGAACAGCGTCGCCGGCGCCCACACCCGACCAGAGCCGACCAAGCAACCACCAGACCCTCTAACGGAGCCAGATCTACTGCCATTGAGCCGACCAAGCAACCACCAGTGTGAGATGGAGTGGTGTGTGATGAGTGGTGTGTGATGAGTGGTGTGTGTGATGAGTGGTGTGAGATGAGTAGTGTGTGGTGAGTGGTGTGTGATGAGTGGTGTGAGATGAGTGGTGTGTGTGATGAGTGGTGTGAGATGAGTAGTGTAAGATGAGTGGTGTGAGAGGAGTGGTGTGTGATGAGTGGTGTGTGAGATGAGTGGTGTGTGAGATGAGTGGTGTGTGATGAGTGGTGTGTGAGATGAGTGGTGTGTGGGAGGAGCGGAGGAGCGGAGGGGCGGGAGGAGGCGCCGGGAAGAGGCGGAGTGAGACTTAGAAAAGAAGAACCCCACACTAAGATGTGGGGAATAATGGCGAAGATTTTCTGGCTGTGAAACTTCAAGGTTGGCTCACTGCCGCAGTGCAGGTTGGGCTGCAAGCCAGCATAGCAATCCAAATCAATAAGCTACCTGGCCTCATCCTGGCCTGTATTGGCTCTGCCTTTATTGGCTATGTTGGGGCCATGCCTATAATGGCTGTGCCTTTGTTGGGCGCAATGGCAGGGATGGCCTTGAAATTTTCGCATGTCCGAAGACAATGCTGATGGGGTGAGACAAGTGCTCTCTCCTGCAGCACCTTTGGTGAAAGTCAGAGAGGCAATGGTAGCATCCAGCCAAACATTTCCACTTGGCCAGCAGCAACCCACTTGGTGGCTAAGTTGATTGTTGATTTTTGCAAATGAAAGTGTACAGAGGCACCGAAGGTGTGCATACAAGTCTAGAACAACACCTGTAATACAAGCACATGTCAAACAGCAGTCTAGAAGCAAAGTCTGCTGCTTGCAGATTTAGAGGGGCAAGTGCACTAGTGGCAACAATATGGCAACCCTTTCTGTGAGGAATCCTTTCGGAAACGCTCCTGGGAAAAAGAGATCCCCAAGAGCTTGGGTCACCAGCGTCACCGACTGCTCAACAAAAACAAACACTCCGGCGCGCACCAGAGACACCAGTGAATTCCCACAAAATTTTCGGCGCGACCCGCAAAGCCCACTTCCTTGGCAGATATGGAACTTCAGCCGGCTGGCTTTCGAAACAATGCTCGTTGATGCTTGTTGTACATTCGGCATGCTGCTGGTATAGTCGTATTACGTCGTATTGATTTCTAATTTCTAAGCAATCCTCCCAATATATGTCAAGCAATTCGAATGTGAGTATGAATGAAAGGACACGAAAGCAGCTGAGGGGAGTGGAGAAAATTGCGCCGCTCTGAGAGTTGCAAGGATGTTGTAGACAGGCAACGGCAGCGGAAGGAATGAACACAGTTGGAAGGGAACGTGCAAGGGCTTGGACATGGACATGGACGGAGCTGAAAGCAGTTGAGGCAGCACTAAAGGACCCACAACCCGGCAAATCGTCAATGAGACCCAACGCATCCACGGATTGGTTGCAGGTCAAACCTTGCTTAGCCTACAGCCAAAAGCACACCCGACCGCTTCAAAAACGCCAAGCATCTTTGGTCGTCCACTGGTCCATGCCATTCCTAGTCGATGCACACAATCAATTTCAACACATATAAATGGACGCTCTATGTGAATGTCTCTCTGGCAGGAGCTGACTACTGCAAGCAAGAAGCTTGACGTCCTGCAATAACACGTTTAGAAATGCATTTTTACCTTTGGGTCTCACTGGCTGCATAATGCAAAGGCTTGTATACCTACTAGTTCAACGATGTCATCAAGAATTATTCTTGCCACGTCTGGCAGTGCAATTCCAAACAAAAGCATATTCCCTCGTCCCAATCAATGGGCTTCCCGTCGGGATCCTGAACATTCCTGAACAAACCTTGCCAGCTAAATGCATTGATATTCTCAAAAATGACGCACCTAATCATCATCCGTGCTCAAGATGAATTTGTCTGTAAGTTACGATGCTCTCTCCCCCGACTTGGTGGCACAAAACATGAGAAGGGAGGAGACAAAAAACCATCCCTCGTCGTAGACACTGAGAACTCTATAGTTATATATATAATGGTTGTTAGAATGAAGTCAAACAATGCATTTTTGAATCTGCCGCACTTGCTGGTTGCACGTGGCAGTCATTGCCATGTGAGGCCATGTCGTTTGCCAACATGGCTAGGCCAAGTATAATCTCAACTCCGTACTGAAAGGTACATCTTGCAGAATGCCGTCGATGCAATCTTTTATGTGCTCGGCTTGCAGAGGCACTTCGTCTTTACAGCAAAACAAACATTCGCAAAGTCTTTACTTCAAACCAGTAACCAGCCCCAAACAGAGTCTGTCAACGTATTTTCTTTACAGCAGCGTGGCCGGACCTAGCTAGATAGCACTCCTTTGCTCGTGCCTTTTTCCTTCCCCAAAGCCTTGACAAAACGATCACACACAGGGCACCGCCACACATGCCCTTTTCACTGAACCCGTCAGCGTCGATTCGTTTCGGCGCAACCTCTCGTCGACCACGTCAACTCTACGGCGGGGCAGTCCCAAAACACATTGCCTTCTTCGCTGAGTCGCTGAGGCCTTTATAGCGGCAACAAGCCTTCTTGCAGGTTGCCGTCTTTACAGCTGACCGCGTCCATGTTTGCTGGGGGCGCAACTAAACAGACTATGAAATTGGTCCCGACCGCGA